CTACGAACGGGGCTCCTGGCATCGCTACGAACGTAACAAGAAGCTACGAACGGAGCAAAGGCCATCTTCATCCATCTTCACGCCTCCATGCTACTCCACGACCCCTCCAGCATGCCCACCCTCCTCCCTTCGCCTTCGCCCCACCCGCACCTCTCGAAAGTAGCGCGACTCCGCCACCGTCCCTCCGAGGTGGTGGCGGTGGTGGTGGAGGCGCCGTTGCCATGGCCGGTCCGTCCCCCGGCGGTGGCGGAGGCGGCAAACCTGGGGATGGTGAAGAGCTGAGATTTGACGGAATCCACTTTGCTTTAGGAAAAAAGACAGCATCTTTCTTGTGATGACTCAAAACCTGAGGCCACTAGAAGTGAGAGGACATCTCGACAACAAGAAGCGAGATGTCCTAGATGCCCAAGGCTCTGAGTTTGCTGATGCCCGAGGCAGCTGGATTAGCAAATCATGGAAGCTCTTGCAGGGGATATGCGAGAAACTAGGCATACCCTGGAATTGAAATATAGTAATTATTATTGTACAATAACAAGGCCTTGACAAAGCGGCCTTGGTAAAGGAAAAGGCCATAAGATCAGGAAAAGACTAGAAATCTTCAAAGCGTGCAAAAGGACATTGACCAAGACCTCCGACCTCTAGGTCTTGTAGTAAATGCACCTCCCATACTATTCTCAACTTGTGCCTGCTCATAAAAGAGTCAAATCAATCCGAGCGTGGATCAACCCGATCTCGGCCCCGATCTCGCCGCCGATCTCGGCGCCGAGATCACCAAGATCACGGGCGGACCAGCCGGTGCATCAATCGAAGTGACCCCACACGGCCATATCTGGCCATATCTGCTCCATATCTGGCCATACGTATAGGGTGTGGAGAAAGACATCTCATCCTCCCATGCCGCGAGCACATGCGAGCACTTGGTGGGACGCACTCAGCCGCCAATGCCTCGATGAATTCACGAGCAGATGCCCCATCCAACCACCTTCGGGGAGTCTCACTCCTGAGCTTCGTTTGCTTACCACCATGCTCTTCTGGAGGCGATCTAACCAGGGCTCACCCCGTGTTTCAACACAGAAAACATAGGGACATGAATCGCTCGAAAAAGACCACCTATCAATCACCACCTGCTCGCACTGCATACTGTACCAAGGGCTTTGCTGCTTCAGCAGACCACAGCTCTGATAGCACAGAGTCGTCTTGGTCGAAAGAGATCTTCCCCATTCAGATTGGCAAAGTGCTGGACAATCCTCATTGGAGGAATCCCTCAGCCTGGCGAGCCTCTTGGCTGCCACACTGGGGAAAAACGTCTATGGTTATTCTCTATTCGAACTATATAGATGGATCGATCTCCATCCCTGCTAAACAACAAAATGAAGACATCTATTTAAAAAACGGGCGGCGGCAAAAAAGAACGATGGCAATCAAAGGTTTGAGTATGTTTGAGTTGTTGGATGGACATTGTACACCACAAGTTCTCCCCAGACCTCGTCCACTCCTACCGTCGATCCGGCGGGAAACCAGTGAAGGAAGGCCGTCGATCCATCTGCTCCGGTAGGGGCCTGGCTGATGCAGAAAGCAGAGTCAAGAAGGACTCCAGGTGGACAATACGTGAATTGGTTGTAACATGGTCAGCTATTCAAACGTGAAATGTCTGCCCATCTTTCCACAAGCAGATCTTTTAGGAGAGCATCTCATAGGGGGATATGGTTATCGCTTTTGGAGGGGCTATCGCTTTTGCAGGTTATGGCCAAATTCCTGAATTCGCGACCGCTCTCTACTAAATTAGTCATCGCACGTTTTGGCGGTTGTTCACTTATCTCCACGTCCTCATCTGCTTCCCATGGGTCTCATCTTCGCTTTTTCCATCATTTTCTCTCACCCATCCCATGTCTTGCACGGCATGGCCCTGAGAATCATTCTGAACATTCTGAACCGGAAGGACCGGAGAATGTCGGCGATCGACACCAAACTCGACAGAAGCAGGAAAGAGTCAAAGCTCAGAGTGGTGCCTCACCGTGGCAAAGCAGTTCTTTTTTGAGCTGCTTTAGTCAAAAATGTGCTTGTGCGCTCTGTGGTAGAAGCTCTAGTTTGGAAGACCAGAACAAGCAAGATTGGACCTGCTATAATAAAATGGAGTTGCCTTGTTTTATTACCTGTTGCATGACAAAATATCTCCACATGAGTCTGTCATAGTGGAGATTTTGGCAAATGAACTCAACACAAAAAGCCGGACATCACTGTCGCGTGTCGCAGTGTCTTCTGGGGTGCTCTCATTTCCTAGTAAAATGTAGAAGAGATGCCACCGAACAAATGTCTGCTGTGCTCACAAAACCCTCAACACCTCCAAAAACCCTCGTCTTCGTGTCGGGCTCTTCTGGTCAACTGTCAGACCGACGAAAAAAGCCACTTGATGTCTTTGTCGCTTCAGACGTTCACCATCTTCGCGGGTTGGGGCGTGAGTTGCCCAGCTGAAGGTACGGCGGTCTGAAGGAAGGCAAAAACATCGCAGGAGAAGAAAACACACACCTTCTCTCCGAAGAGTGCAGACTTTGGCGGGAGGATCCCCAAACACAACTCTTTTGATGTTCTTTCTGTACAAGAGACTCTTCGCAGCCAGCTGTCCACAGGATCTCGAGTCTCAACTTGGGCACGGCATGGGGCTCACGGCTTTCAGCCGCACCAGCTGATGTGTCATCTTTCTCAGATCTAAGGCAGAGGATAGACAAGAAGGGATTTGAAGGAGGTTGGTCAAAGTGATCCTTTCTTTGAGGACCAGGTGAATTTGGATGTACTCCCTGAATCACTGTCACTACCCCATCTTCGACTTGTAGACTCGCTCTGGCTTGCCCTCAGCCACCCAGACAGGGGAAGCATTTTCCCACAAACACTATGCACCGGAGGATTGCACGCCGTATCCTGCCAAAAAGACGGGAAGGAGATGACGAAAGCTTGGCAATGCCTGGACAATGGTGACCCAAAATGGAGTCCCAAAAGTTTGCTTTAAAAAGGCCATCGCTATTAGGTTGGAGGCCATAGCTATATCATTCTCGAAAATGAAACAGGCAAAAGCTGTTTAGGGTTTAGGATATCCTACGTGTTTCACAACCTGAATGACATGAGTAGGCAAACAACACGCCGTGGAATGGACTGACATTTTTTAACAAAACCTGTTGATTCTACCACAGTGGAGATCCTCTTACCATACATGAAAACAGGACACAGAAGTCAAAAAAGAAACTGCAAGGGCCAGCTATTCAGAGGTTCTTGGCACAGGGGGTAAGAAGGAATTGAGCTATATGATGGGAAAATACTGCTTCCCGATTGCCCAATTTCGTTCAACTTCATCCGGCAAAGTTGCAAATTGTTGCATCAGCCATGATCATCTCCCCTTCCGAAAAACGGACACTGGACACGGGCCGTGCACACTCAGATGCTGACGCCACTCAGGCGGAGGTGGATTCTTGATGCTGTCAATGGAAGAACTCAGAAGACGGCTCACATATACCTGGTGGTTTTTTGGTGTTCACTCAGTGTCTCCGACTTCCCATCTCCGAACAGCTAGTGAAAGGAGTTCTTTCTTTGGCACCCAAACTGGAAAAGCACGTGCTGAGCAACTCCCGGCTCTCAGGAGATTTTGGAATGCATGGCTTTCGGTTGCCATGTGGTCAAAGCGACACCAAAAAGCGTCGGTTGGGGAAGAAATCCGCACCTTCTTTGCAAAGAGTGCAAATTCTTCAGCGGATTCGGTCAGGGTGCTTCAGACGATTCTGTTCAGACTCTTCGCAACCCCCAGGCACGCATGTGAGTCTCATGTGAGTCTCAGTTGGAAAAGAGCACGGCAGCAGGCTCCCGGCTTTCAGCCGCACCAGTTGCTGTCATCTTTGCTCGGAAGACAAAAATGGTGGGTCTGTCTATGACCCACCCAGGACTCAATGTGGCCTCTAGTCTCGATCCCCCAGCTCCAACCGGTTGGAGCGGCATGCAAGGCCATGCCAATCACGGGCGGCTCGCCACTCACATCTTCATTCCAGGCAAGACTCGTGGTCACAACTCTCTGTTGTACTCACTGCAGCTCACACACTCTGTCAAGTGCTTTGGGAGGGTTCTGGGCATACCCAATCACTTATACTGCTGGAAGTGAGTAGGTTTGAAGGTCTGAAGCATGTGATGAAGGTTTGCTTTCAGTGCAGACGGCTTTCGAGGCGGCCTTCCAGTTGACATTCCAGGATTCGTGTGGAACCTGGCAGCCAGAGACGGCCTTACCTTCTAGCAAATTTGGTAAAGTTTTAAATGGTTAACGGTTAAGTTGTGTCCACAAATCTTTGTCACTATTATGTTAATCAAATGTGTGCAATAAATGTGATTGTCCTGGTCCTGTTGCCAAATCTGTTTCGCTACAAATTTACAATTTGTTCGTAAGTGTTTCACAAAAGAAAAATCTCAAGTATTTCACAACTGTGTGGCACAAAACAGGTGCTGTTGTACTTATTGTCATACTCGCCCAGGCCGTCTCCCAAAACTTCACCGGTTTCTATTCTGACATATTTAACAAACGGGCGCAATTTTGCGTTCACACATGTGATTCAAACAATATATATATTCACAATTTCACAAAAATACTCGGTGACATTGACGAATCTTGGTGAAAACAACCTCTTGAGTCTAGCACCCCATGTCCTACAGTACTACAAACATCTTGCCATGTCGCAGTACCTGCGGAAAACGGTCAACGGTTGCTGGTAATTCAAGCGTGTTTTCCTTTCAGGCGCCTATGTTTGTTTTTTCTCCGCCCCTCTCAAGCATAGTGTGTCTGCGCATGTTCCACAATTGAACGCCTGGACTTTCACGTTGCTGCAACGAGTGATCCTGGACATGCATTGCGTTTTTTTGACGAGATGGGTCGAAGAATCTTCAGCAAGTTGATGGAGATCCACAGCGTTTGGTCCTGCATTCATTAAACTATATATACGTCACAACCCCATAGTTCACATCAATATAGATTGTAAATGGATGTTCATCCCCCTTCTCATGGCATAAAGGTTTTGATAGATCTCATTTTGCCCCTTGCCCCACAGTGTTCAGAGGACAGCTCAATTCTCCGACCAATCCCCGCAGATTTTCTCTAGCTCCATCTCAGGGAACTACTTCATGTTCTTCGGACTCCTCTAAGTCCTTCTCCCTCGCCTCCTGAAGAAACTGGAGAAAGCTCACAAAATGATTGATTCCTTGAGTGATTGATTGATTGACTGACAGATTGATGGGTTGCTGGTATGCTCGGCTTACTCACTCTTGATTGCAAAAAGGGGAACACGCCCCAATCACAAGAGCCTTTGTATGTTTTTTTGGTGCCTTCCGGGCTCACCTCCTCAACAAAAAAAAAGGTCAGATGCAAGGACTTTGAGGCCAGATGCCCGTGCCAAACTTTCACCCTAACCCACCCTGTCATTCGCCGGATGCCAACCCTCCCCCCCAGATCGCATCAGACGCACGCTTTTGCGGGTCCCTGCTTCGCCCGGTTTTCGTGTCCCGACAGTCCGTGATCGGCTCTCCTTCTTCTGCTGAGCCACCTGCCGCTTCGACTCCACGTACGTGTCGACCTCGGGGGAAGCGGGTTTGGGAGTAGGGTCCAAGCAGCGCTTCACTGAGCAAGTGAAAACATCGGCAGCGAAGTGAGGAGTACGAAATCCTTCCATTCAAAAGGTCAGAACTGCTACCGCATGCACTTCTTGCACAGTCTTGAATTTTGGGGCACCTGACATTCATGGAGTTCATATATATATATATATATGTGTAATACGCATTCAACACACTCACAGGCTGAGGCAGGGCACTCCGCTCATTTTTCACACCGGCAGGCGCGGACACAGGTAACGCCTGGAGTGTCACAACGGTTCATATATTTGCGTTATATAGTTAACTCGCAGGGTCCTCTGCAGGAAGCGCGGCTTTGAACACTGGAAGTGGGCCTGAAACACAATCAACAAACCCGCTACACGGGAGTGCCAATCAGACTCTCCCCTTACATGCTGCCTGAGAAACGCAGCCGTCGGTCGGATCGCGACTTTTCCCTCACAGACTTGCTGAAAGGGGAACGCTCCTGCGCACACTCTGGGAGTCCCACGTATCTTCGGGGCGAGATGTACAGAGCCGGGCTCACGGCAAACTCGCTCACTATGGGGAGGGCACGATTTCCACGAAGCAGGGTGGAGAAAAAGAAAGCTAGCCATTTTTGTGAAATGCTTGAGCCAAAAAGGGCAAGGTAGTTGAACATTTGTAGCTTCCACATGTTCAACTTCGAGTTTGAACGACTTTGATGCATCTAATTATTCCCTACACACCAAACCTGCCCATGCACAATGTAGGACATTGACTGTTTCTTTGTTTGCTTGCTTACTTGTTGGTTTGTTTTCCTTCTTCGGGCCGTTGATCCAAGCCACAAAGTCCGGCTCCGCCTGCATGTGAGAGAAGAAGCGATCCATCCGCCGCACATGCTTCTCATGGGAACGACCTGTGGGTGTCCGGAATTCGCGCTTCGCGCTCCGAGATGTATTTTAAGAGGGAGAGACACCCTGCCCCAAGGGTTTTTGGTTTATGTCCTTTCTTCCAGTGGGTCGAACTGTTTTCATACACAGCCATGATCGAATCTCAATGGATCGAGGACAGGGTACACTCGCTGAAATCATGGAAGCAGAGTGAAAAATACCTGTTTGGTATTCGGAAAATGGTCATCGAAATCGGGGCCATGCCATTCACGGGACCATTACTCTTTCAGGGAGAGCTTACGGCTCTTAAAAATGGCCTTTGTTGGCCTCCCTTGCCAAGCAGCGAGTCGGGGGGACGACGACCACCATTCCTGGAGGCGTGGCAGGAAATTCATCTTGCTCCCAAGAGTTGAGCAAATCCTGCAGCTCATCATACCTAAGCAGGAGAGGAAGGGTGAATAGAAAGCTGAAAGAAATCTGTGGGATTTCAGCTGACTTTGAGGTGGAGAGCCACATGACCATGACTGCAAGGTCTCATTCCTGAGTCCAACAGCTCTATCCAACTTGAGAGTTCCAGGTAAGAGGGGTATCTAGGAAAGTGTTTGATCGCGGTTGCTCTTCGATGTGCTTTGTATTAATGTATGAACAAACCAAGTGTATACAGAGTATTCCATCCTACACGCGCGTGTACACATTCCGAGGGCAGAAAGCTAGCTAGATAGGGCAAATACTAAAGAGAAGCAGACCTACAGGCAACAAAAAGTCAGATTCAGGTATACTCAAACAGGATGAAATAGATAAGTCAGAGAAAATGCAGGTACAAGTGGGGAGATGTTACCGTTTGAGGCTGCACTCACACGACATTCTGATGGTTCTCTAAGTTGATAGGGAGATATGAATCGTCCGTCCACCAATTTTCACGACCATCGACCTGCGCCTGTACTACCGAGCCAGGAAAGGTCTGAAGTCTCAACGACGTCAGCCTGCTGAACTGGGTGATGGCCTCCAACCTACTAGCGATGGCCTCCAACCTACTAGCGATGGCCTCCAACCTACTGGCGATGGCCTCCAACCTACCAGCGATGGCCTCCAACCTACTAGCGATGATGGCCTCCAACCTACCAGCGATGGCCTCCAACCTACTAGCCATGACCTCCAACCTACTGGCGATGGCCTCCAACCTACTAGCGATGGCCTCCAACCTACTGGCGATGGCCTCCAACCTA